CAGGTGGGATTTTGTAAGAGACGAGGAGGGCTCGTAGGCAACTGGCCCTGCTGAGCTCTGGGCAGGACAGCTCAGTAAGTCTTGGGAAATCCCCAGTAAGTCTTGGGAAAAAGAGCTTGCCTCCTCGTGGAGAGGAAGTTTCCCCAAAGTTCTCCTTCCACAAAGATGAGAACATCTTAAAGGGGGAGGATCTTGCCTCTAACACAATTGTTTGGTTGTTTCACCTACTTTTGTGAGCAGCAGTATCCCAGAGGGAGCTGGGAAATATTTATTTGCACAGAATCAAGACGTTGAACCAGCTGCTTTCTGTAGAGAACTGCAGGAGGCTCAGACTCCTTCAGAGCAGGTAGCTGAGTTAAGGCGCGGGAGTCCCTGCCTCTCAAAGAGGGAGGAAAGCAGTGACTCCCGACTGCCAGTCCTCACTGATTTTGAGCACGTGAGGAACCCAGAGCCTGTGTTCCTCTCAGAGACACAATATATTTACTCCACTGTTTGGCGGCATCTTGTTTCAGAGAGGACAGGGGCTTGCTGCCTCCTGTTGAAGTCCAAGCCATTTCCTCAGTTTGATGTGGTGGTGCTTATCACTATAGCCAACAGTGGTGGGTTGACCCTGGCTGGCAACTAAGCCCCTACCCAGTCTTTCGCTCACTTCCCTCCCAGTGGGATGGGGGGGAGAAACAGAAGGGCAAAAGTTGAGTAAAAACAGTTTACTGAGTGAAGAGGAAAAAAAGCCCAAACAAAACAAACCACAAAAACCCCAAAATGCAAATGATGCAAAGGCAATCACTCACCCAGTACAGCAGTTTAGTATTGGATGCAGTGGCTGCAGGAACAGATATGATTGTGCTGCACCTTACCTCCTAACTGTTGGGAAAGAGAATTCCCTTCTCCAGAAATCCCCCACTGTTACTCTATTTCCTTACTCGGGGACTGTGCTCAAGCTTGCACAGGCCATGTGAATTTTGCTCTAGAAGTTGATCCTGTTAAGCAATTGTAGCCACAGCTCCCTCAGTTGTTTGTTGAACAAGGAGACACTGTGGTTATAAGAAGATCACAACTATCAGCCCTGTTTTACGATTTTTATGAGCGTTAATGGAACAAGGTTTGGGGACTGAAGGAGAAAATGGAATATGAAAAGAAAAATGAAAAGCGGCTGTGAGGAAAGCATGTCATTTCTAAATGAATGCTCTGTGCAGAGGAATTGAATCTTTTCACAGCTGAAAATGGATCTTAAATCTGATGCCTTAGCTTGTTTCAGCTTCCGTAATGAAATAGAGGTTTCCTAATACCCTGTGACCTGAATTTCTCCCTGCTTTATGGGTGCTATTCCTTGACGTACAAACCTGTATTTTCTCAAGTCAGCATTTGATGATGGATGTCAAAATATAGGTCATGTATTATGCATATAGCATTACCGATTTAAGGTGTTTACTTGTCAAGTTGAAGAAATTCAGAAATGTCACATTCACTGAATCTGCACAGCTGTCACTTGTAGTTTTTCATGCCTTTAAATGAAAGTTCTGATAAAGCAGGTTAGTTTTCCTACACTTTTTTTCCCCCCTCTCTTCTGGAGAAAAAAAAATAGAAAGCCTATCTATAGAACTTATGTTGTGACGGGAGGAGGAATGTGGCCTGAAGGTGTATGGTGCCTTGTGACTCCAGACATAGGCACGCAAAATCCCCAAGTACTCCAATTTTCCTTTCCTGAAAATATTCCAAGACTTTAATATTTTTAAAAAGTAGATTTTTAGAAGTGTGTGAATTAAGCACAGGCAAGGAAATTAGATTAAGATAGCAGATATTTCTCACATCTTCCAAGACCATAGGACGAAAAATATTAAGGCATTACTCTATTTTTCATTCAAGGAGAAAACAAAATCCCTTTAACATGCTTCCTGCATTTCAGACTGAATGCACTATGTGTGCAGTGTGCAATTACAGAGCTCCTGACAGTCTGTGTCTAACAGAAATGACACATTTACTTCAATCTTCTAACACCATCCTAAGAAGACAAATATTTGAAGGGTTAGAGAGGTGGCTACAAACAGCCTTCAATGGAGAGTGTGCATGTGCATGCCTCTCTGTGTGTGCATATTGCAGTAGAGGGAGGGCAAGAAGGACTTACACATTTAGACGCAGTTACGCCAACTTTCTTCAATTTGTTTTTAGCTGTTAGGGAAATACCGTGTGCTCTAACCATCTGAAGAGCCTGACTGATGTTTTAGGCAGTGCATCCTGAGATGGGGAGAGAAAAGCCTTCAGGAAAAAGGGAGAACCAGGGCCTTTAGGGATGCTCCCAGCAGCACAACCCCTAGGGTGCATGGGAACAAGATTAGTTTTCTCTGCTTTCAGGTAAGTGAGTGTAAAAAGTCTTGCTGTTGCCATTTTGACCTGCAGTTCTGCAGAGGACCCAACTGGGCCTGCCACTTTAACTGTTCAAGGAATCTACAGCTACTTGAGCTTCCTTTAATGTAATATGACAAAAGCTGTATCTTGCCTTTCCTGTAGCGTAACAGAATGCAAAACTTAAACACTGGAGCCTGCTACAGAAGGAGGTGTCACACTAATACCCACCTGTCCTCAGCATTCCCTCCCTTTGGAGGCCCACTTCAATTTTCCTGCTGTTGTGAGAGCGTCAGGGTTACCTCTAACTCATGAGGTGGTGCCTGAAGGAACTACGTCAGACTCACTTTGTGAGTCTGAGAAATCCTAGGCTCTGCCATGCAGAAGTAAGCATTCAAAGAGCCAATACAGCTATCAGTCACAGTGCCAGACATAAGGAAACATCTGCAAACCGATACCAGTTGGGAATGCAACTCACTGTCACCATGCTGGTCTTATTGAATTAGTTTCAGCAAAACGAGTAGTATTAAGTGACCGACTGTTAACATTGCCAACATTTCTGATTCTCTCGAAGAAATCTGCTTTCTAAAGATTTTCTATGCACTGGTAATATTAAATAGAATTGCTTTGCTGTCTTAGGTTTGCCTATAGCAATGTTTTTGTCTTGCAAGCCTGTTGAAGATACCACATCCACATCTTTTTCTCCTAAGGAATTTATTCACAGACTTTTCACTCCCTTTTTATTTATCCTGTCCTTACAATCCTCATGCTGTATCTAATGTTCATGTGATAGTGAGAATGAAATTCATACCGGTACCTTCTGGAGGGCAAAGTAAGTCTCTCTTCTCAGTGATTCTAGTTTTATTACCTATATATTCTATATGTGATATAGACAAAACATAGGGAGAAATGAACTGAATATTAAATAAAAATTTAAATCCCATTAAATCAAGATGTCCAGATCTAGTGGTTCTTATAGTTTATCTTGTTTAGGGACAGTTTCAGAATGATGGTAATTGTCACTGGAAAAGAACCATAAATCCCTCAGAAGGACTATATAAACCCAGTACCACACATTAACTACTACAGTTTAGTTTACAGATTTCCTGGTCTGTAAATTAATCCCCAGACTGAAAAAAGGTAACGTAGATAATATCATATGATCTCCTGAATTCAGTAGCAGATGAATGTATCAATGAATTTAACGCAGTGAAACAGTTTCCACACCTCAAGAAGATAATGAAGTTATGTCAGGAATTAACTTGGCTGTGATTAATTTTGAATCGGTATGTGGAGAATTCAAAACTCGTTCAGACCAGTAATGACAGAGGATCAAAAGTCTGTCCCTAGATGTCAGGTGTGAAGTCAAAGAACTCAGGCATAACATGTGGGGGGGGGAAGAGAGATTTTTCTCAGAAATGCATGTTTTAAAGTGAGCTTGGCTCAATCCTATTCCTAGCAGACAAATATTTGCTTAAAAATGCTGACCTTGACGTTGGTCTATGTGAAACCCTAAAGTCAAACTCTGGCTTCACCATCACTTCTGCAATAATGACATTAAATGAACATTCCCATGCTTTCTGCAGCTTTAATGGAGAAGGGAGATTCAATGCATTAGTCTCAGCTGCGAATTTCCAGTCCAACTGTTGCATGGGCTTTTGTATAACTGCCTATTTTTCAGTACTCACAATCAAACTCCAAAAGGCTTTGCCTGGATATTTAAAAAAAAAAAAAAAAAAAAAAAAAAAGATTAAAAAATGTTCAGTGTCAAGAGCTCCATTTCAAACTGTGTAGAGAATCAGGCTGAAAACACAATCTTTTTTAGAGGTGAACCTTGCTGCTCTCCAGATCTTTTTTTTTCTTTGAGTGCCTGCCAATATGTTTCCTCTCCCACCTCTGTTTCCTTTACAACCCCAAGGGTATAAAACTCTTTCTAGTTTCTTTTCAAGCATTCCTCTTACATACCATTTGAAAACCTGTGTCTTTTTCCTTCCATCCTATTTTTTTTTTCTGTTAGAATGGGCCCTTCAATTCCAGTATTCCTATAATTACAATTATATGCTCACAAAAATACACATTATGAGTCGTACACCTGAGAAGAAAAAGCCTTCGTGTGGATTGTATTGTTCCTGGTAACAGTTAGAAAATTTTAAATCCTGCATGTTGATCAAACCTAAAACCTGGTAATGGAAGCAATTTGTTCCTCCTGGTTGTACTACTGTTTACAAACAATACGCTTTAAAATGTTAATTGAGGTCTAAGGAAAGGGTGTGTGTTTCAGGATTATTTGAAATACTAATAGGACAAAATTAAACCTCTCTAACACTGAAGTCTTTATGTTTTTATTTATGTTTAAGTAAGCATTACTCTTTCCATTTTGCGTGTTTTGATGCAAAGGCTACCTAGGATAGCAAAACAAATTTCAGTGTCTCCATCAGCTACCAAATATCTTACAGTAGAAATGACCTGCCTATTTGTGAAGAATTATGCTTCTAAGAAATAACTGTTGAAATTGAAGTCCTTTTTTTTTAAAATGACAAATTTTTTACCATACTTTTCTGGGGGAAAAAAAGAATTAGAGAGAGGGAATTCCCTGTTGGTGGGGATTTTTTTTTATATAGTTTGTCCTGTGTAAACTTTCTCTTTTTTTCTTTTAGGCTTTACGCCCCCTGGGATGGATAGGTCATCTCCAGACAACAGTCCAGTCCATGGCCTGTTACGTCAACCCTCCATTACAACAGGAGCAAACATCCCTATTATAACAGAGCTAGGTAAGAAAAGCTACTATTTATCCTTTCATGTACATTCCCATATCTTTTACCCACTTCCCTTGTTATGCAGTCTCAGGAAAATTACCTATACTGTTATGTTTTCTCTTCTGATAACTGTTTTGAATTACTCTCTCTAAAGAAAGATTAGTAACAGTTGTTTCACTTTATTTGAATAACTGAAATATATTTCTTTCCTTTGGGTTTTCTCCATTTTCTTAAATAAACACTCTATCAGACAAGATGCTTTTTACATAGTGTAACAAATAAGCAGGGGTCTTTGGGCTAAGGTTAGAAAAGAAAAAAAACACAGTAAGAATAAGCAGACATTTCCTGTGCATTTAATCAATAGTAAGAGGCCATTTGTTTATTTCTTCATGGTCCAGAACTGTTTAATCATGTGTAACCAAACTCTGTATAATAGTATGAGACATTTTACTCCTGAGAATACAATGATGGTAGGTAACCAGGCTCTGATTTCCACTCTAGCTGTGGGTATTTATGTTGTCAAGTGGTGTGATGTGAAGTGCAGAAGCTGTTCTGTTTTTTTCATGGCAAATACAAACTTGATTTGTGGTCCTTTGTCCTTTTATTTTCCTTTTCAATTTTATTTTTTAGAGCCTTACCTGTCTTTTTCCCTTACTTTATTCTCTTTCTGTACTTTCTTTTCCCCCTAAATACTTTACTTATTAGCTAAGCCTGGCAAACTTCTGCCTTTGGTTTCAATCAGTCAGGAAAAAAACAGTGGAACCCACATTCTAATGATAACTGAACTGGGTAAGAAGTGCCTTTTTCCTTCACATCACTGTCTTATTTTCTGTTGTTGTTGTTCTTACTGTCATCAGCTTTTTCTTTATTTAACTGGCTGTATCAGAGGGGCTACCCTCATGGCACTGCTTTGAATGTGTTTTATTTGTGGTTCTGGTTGAAATTGACTGTCTTGTTCTGGCCTTTCTTAATGATTTTTTTTTCACGCAGCATCAGTAAACCTTTGATCACACTCGTCTGACCTGCCGGCTGTTTTCATAGCACCTTCTCACCAATTCATTTTCTTTGGCCTGGGTCCCCACCTCCCGGGCCCTACACCACCCCCACCCCCCACCACCCCCCAGTTTTTCTCTCCTTTTCTCTCTTTCTTTCTCTCTTTCTCTTTTTGTTATTTCAGCCTATTGTCAATTTGGTGGACATGCCTTAGCAGTTCTCACAGGAAGTCAAAGAAGAAGTAAAACATACCAGAAAAGAAACCCCAGCATCATTCTTTCCCTTAAGTTATTTGTTTGTTTATTTTGGGGAGTAGGCCTTTTCTCAGAAGCTCAGGTTTTGAAGCTGTAAAAAAGCAGCCAAGCTTCTGCATTGCTCCCTCTCAATAAAGAGAGCTCTCGGCAGCTTTTGCGAGCAGTGTTTGATGAGCATGTCCTATGGCGCAGCACCACGCATTCAAGCCTACCTCACCTAGCCCCGAGAACTTTCACAGAAATCCTAGCATGCTAACTTGTATCAGGAAGATGAAGATATTGAGGATAAAACCACACTTGCAGAATTCACGTTAGATTTGTAGTACCTTGGAAACTGACACCACACACAGCTAGCAAGCTGGTGTCAAAGTCAGGTATTAGTCTGCCAAATGTAAGTGAAAAAAGAATGCTATTGTCAATAGTTCCTGCTCTCAACTAGAAAATTAAACGAAAGCACAGGCTCTTCAGAAAGTACATTTTGAAATGATATGTCAGGCTTTCAAATACTATTTTGCTCAAGAATCTGGAGAATAAATTGATAGCCATTGTGCAAAGAAAGGAGTATTGTGGATATTAGTGTTTGCTAGGATGAAATTCTTCTGACTCCCAGGGCAGAATCCTTCTCCGTTTACAACGCTGAGGTGTTATGTTTTCATGGTTACACCAAAGAGTGGGAAGGCCAGAATTTTAAATCCTACCTCAGCTCAGGTCCTGACTTACTGTATGATGATGGCCAAGTACTGGCTCAGCAGGGCTCTAAAAAAAAGATAACAATTCTCATCTCTTTTAGACAGCTATTGTGAGGCTTTATCTATAGTTATTCATGTTTTATAAGCTAAGCATGACAAGCACAGTAGAGTATACGGGTTGGAAAAGGAGTGGGTGGAAAATGAAACTATATAGGAAGGAAGATCAGAATAGCAGGCAGAAGTCTTTCTAACCTAAGAAATCCAGAGCCAAGACCCAATCAAGTTAACAGCAGCTCTCATGTTGGTTTCAAAGCTCCCTGGGTTGGCTCAGAAGATGCGTTCACATGGGGGATAGGGACATGGTCAATGTGTGCACTTTCAAATGCTGAAAAAGTTTTTAATTTCCCTTCCTTGCATGGGAACTGGAATTAATTTGTCATTTAGTAAGTTCAAGGGTATTTCCATGGCATAACTAAGCAGCCTTTGCTTTCATGCCTGAGGAGGACTAATATGGAAATGAATTATTTCATGAAATATGATTCACTTGATACACTGATCTCAAGGAAACAACTATTTTTAGTAGAATGAGGTGGAGGCAGAGAACTTAACTGTGACAATGAAATGCCTGAGAAAGTCTAAATGACAAATATTGCTTTATTTGGTCTTTTTCTTTAAAACAGCCTGATGTAGATTCTTTTTTCACACTGGCTAATATAGAATTTGTGGCTAAGGAAGTGAAGTTATGGAGACAAATATTTGAACAAAAGGCAGTGCTGCAAGAGAATAGCTGGAGTATTGTTCATTCATTCAGACAGACGCATGTTAAAGCGACAATTTATCCTCTTTTGAGCTGTAAGTGCATTAACACCACTCCAGTAAGAATCACGGCAGCACATCTAACAGATGCCTGTGGGCTATATCAGAGTTTTATGGACAGCCTTTATTTTACAAAGGGGTTCTGGCTTGGTGTCTTGTGATAACATTTCACTGTACACGCATACAGCCTTAGCCACTGTACCTGACCAATACCAAGATTGTCTCAATATATAAAAGAGCATCATGTATCTCGTTTTGAGTGCAGGCAGCTGGTGCCGTGAAGCTACTTTTACGGCAAAGGGATAGTCACCTCTCAAGAGCAAGAGAGTCACCCCTTACGAGCAAGATAATGAGCAATAGATTTTTAAATGCACATTTTCACATCCATCTTGATTTCATTTTCAGTGACGTCAAAGACACAAGTCTGTGTTTCCAGACATATGCTGTTTCTTTTTCTTTCTGACTGTGTAATGTGTAAGGTCACATCCTGGTGACCCAGAAGCACCTTATGATTATTTATTATTATTACTATTATTGTTATTGTTGTTATTATTATTATTATTATTATTTTCAGTAAATGATTCAAATGTTCAGTTCTTGGACCAAGATGATGATGACGATCCAGACACAGAACTGTATCTCACGCAGCCCTTTGCATGTGGAACCGCATTTGCCGTCAGCGTGCTGGACTCTCTCATGAGCGCAGTAAGCAAACAAAACCTTTTTCATTCTTTTCCATCAGACTTGTTGTAAAAGAGTATGGAAGCGTAGTCCCTTTTCCACAGGTAGTCAGGAGAAGACTCTTTTCTCTTAGATGTCAAGAGAATTTCAGAGCCTTTAGGTTATTTTGTAGTTGGACACAGAGACTTTAAACCAACTGAGATATCTAAGACTACTGTGAGACCACAATTCTAAAAGCAGAGTCTCATGTCCAGCTTTAAGGATAACAGTTTTCAAAAAGTGTTGTACCTCCCTCCTGAAACCTAGACCCAAATTCAGTGTGTCGGTCCCTATGCTCACCATTCATGTCAGACAGCATCAACTGTGTTTTAAGCTTTTAATTTCCTGTAGCTGTGAAAAATGCTCTGAGTATGAGTGCTGGGGGATACCTACAGAACTATATGAAAGCCATTGTACACATCAAGTGAACTCTACTTGTGTGAAGAGAGGTCATCATCTCTTTTTCACATGAGTTGTCTTGTGAATGAAAACATAAGTGCATGCCAGAAACTACAGATGGTGGCCTTTGGTTATGTCTACATTAGGGTTTTTGGTTTGCAGCCATAGCGTACTTTTGAAGCAAATGCCTTGGGTCATATTCCTTTTCATCCTCCCTTGCTTCATATTGGCTAGGTTTTCAGACCAGTCTTGCTCTGTGTGAGCTGCACTTCTTTCAGAGGGACCTTAAGCTGTGCTAGATGTAGCAAGGATAAAGCCTTTTTAAAATCTAAGCATAGGCTTCCTGAGCTCCCCATGGAATAAAGTTCCATGGTGCTGGGAATCATCTGTTGTTGTTGTAAACTCCATGTAATATTAGAAACGAGCAAACAGATTTCCTTAAAGGATCCAAGTCTGACTTTCACCTAAATTCAGAATGAAGCTTTTTATTTTTAAGAAAAATTCACAGTGATCTTTATTATTTGATATTTTATTTGTATTTTGTCTTTATGTATCTGTATTTCATATTTTTATTCCCTGCTATATTCCTCCTATGTTCCATCCACAGATGAAAATTATTATATTAATATAATAATTTTATCAGTCTACACTGATAAAATTTTATTCTAATGCCACCTAGGAGTTTGCAATAAACTCAGAAAATACTTTTTTTGAAGGTTATGGGCCATATTTTGCAGACATGACAAATTCAGAAAGCCTAAGCAAGCGCACTTAAACTCTGTACCTTCTCTAATTAAAATCTCTATGAATAAAATATTTAGCATTTTCACGTTATAAATAGGAATAATTTAACATGTAGGTTCCAAATTGTTATACTGAGGGCCATTTATCTACTCACATTATTATCTAAATCAGTATACCTGAATGAATCGTTCACTAGGGCACTTCCAGAATCTTGGAAAAAGTAGGGTTAATTCTTCTGCTTGCCACTGGCATCACCACAAAAAGAGAGCAAAATGTTGTGGGCACCATTGCTTTCTTGTGCAAAGGTATATCATGTAGGTAATAGTGAGGCAATAAGACATATATGGGATGTGACTCTTCAGAAATTTTTACTTGGAACTCATGTAATCCTCGCAATATTTTTAGTTCTTGCCAGCTTTTATTAACTTTTAGGTTTTGGCAGCATGACCCTCCATTTCTGCAATTCCTTTCTTCAACAGGGTCTTTTTTCAAACACTTTCACAGCTAAGTGGTCATATTATATGCCAGGGACAGTGCAGCCTAAAGCCAGAGAAGTAAATGTGATAACAAGAGTAGAAGATTCTAACTTAGAAAAAATACTAATCAAGAAGACAAGCCAAGGATTGAGTCAGTTACAATTGTTCACCATCCTGTCTTTTCTTTCACCACTTTGCTGATCAGTGGCAGCGTTATTTTCTCTTTTATTCCTCAAAGGCCTAGTAAAGAGTTGGAAAAGTACAATTCTTCCTGACCCTTCAGAAAGTGTAAGATGTGTGAGATGTTCTCCCTTTACTATCTGTATTCTCATGGGAA